TATGGAATATATGGCTTTTGGTGATTTAGCTACATATTTACGTCAACAAATGTCGAAAGATGATTGTCCACATGGTTCTATTGATGTACACTTGGCAATTAATTGGGCTATACAATTGGCTAATGGTATGAATTATTTAACAGAATTACATATTATACATCGTGATTTAGCTGCACGAAATTGTTTAGTGAATTCTATGCTAACTGTGAAAATTGGAGGTATGTTGAAGATATTTTCTTATCATCTGATTTAAAATTATTTGAGTTAGATGATTATGAAATCATTACATTTTAAAGTTATTAAATGTTGACGTTCTATTCAAATAAATTATTTTTAAGTGATTATGAGCTGATTGTAACTGAAGCAACATTGTTTAGCTTAAATGAGAGACTTTTTGAAATCGCACACTGATGAAATTACTCACAGATCAAGTCTCAAACGGGTTAAAGCGGTGGCCTAATGGAATAAAACGTTCAACTTTCAAGCACTTGTTCTCAATCAAGTTCAGATCCTACTCCGTCTACTTAGGTTTAGGTGTGCAGCATTTCATCATTCGCTTTTCTGCTAAATAGGCATTCAAATAGTATCACTAGTACTTATACTCCGAATGTGACTCATACACTATCTGATGGACGACTTAATTTATTCTGATATTTTAAGTTTAAACTCATAGATTCTACGGAAGAGTGCAAAATATTTTAATTACCTAAGTCAAAATTAAGTGATCTATATATTTTACTCCTGGTATAGTTTTCCTATGATCATTGTTTGGTGGTCAGTCAGCTATACCGTAGAACTTCGTACATACGTACATCAGTTCAAGTTGCCACGCCATATTAGTACAGAAATTTGATTGTCAGTTCAAATCATACACTAGTAGAGGTAGGAGAAGTATTAGCGGTAATGGCGAAGATTAAAATTCGAAGATATGATTAGAGAAGTATATCCCAGGGAAAAAAATTTTAGAAAGAGAAAAAACGGTCATAAGGAACTCAGAAGACTAGAATTTGAGAAAGCACACAGACTAAATGCATCTACGTCATTGCAAACAATTTTGAGCCATGCCATTCAGGGTCTCTAACCATCGGTTACTGTCGTCTCACGAACCCCAACCCCGTAGTTGACATCTTCTAACATGGCTCAGTCCAGTTGTCAGTGACTTTATGGACTGGTGCCAATATAATATGTAATATCAGAAACAAATCAAAAATGTACTGCCATATAAGTTAACAAAAATAAAATATTCAGTTTATTTTTTCTATTAATTTTGGTCTTTGTTTTTTTAAATATCATAACTTTTATACGGTTATGTCAATTTGCATTTCACTTCACTCTCGTCAGCCCCCTCGTTTGCTTTTAATCATATTCTCTATGATAGTAAATCTGTCAGAAATCAATAAAAGCAATCGTTTCTTTCTACGCATACAATAACAACAACAACAACAGCTTATATTACTACTCGACTTCTTTTATAATGGAAATATTTTTAGAACTTTTAACAATGATGATAATATAATAATCACACTTTTCGAATTGTTTCAAAATTGTTTGTTAAAGCTTTCTATATTGTTGTGTGTACTTAAGCTTCAATGAAATTTAAACTTCAATTTTATCTTCTTCAATAGTATTTATTTACTATTTGTTATAATTCTCTAGTTATTCCTAATGTTTAGTATTCTCAGACACCAATTCACTCGAGACGTTCTCCCAAAAATCAGAAAACAGTTGAACAGGAAATAGATTATATTCCAATAACAAGGTTAGAAGGAAGTCAGAACGTACAAAGAAAAAAGACGTTAGTATATTTATAGTTTTCTTACATGAGAAGACTCTAGAATGTTCCCTCAGTATTGGCTAGCGTTGATTGGCTACGAAAGAGCCAATCAGCGTACATCAACGCAATCATGCTTTAATCCAATCTATATCGCACTAACACTATTGGAAATATGAAATCATGAGACTACAATGTCAAGATGTAGTTCAATTAAGATTTCTAAATGAATCCAATTTCGACAAAATCTTTCAACTTTAATTTTTCCACTCATCCATTCTGTATTTTCAGTTAGAGTTATGAAGATTAGTGTTTTTGCACATTTGAAATCAATCAATCATTGGTAGATCACCATTAAAAACCTGGAAGCACTCAAAGGCCGTTTCGTCCTGGTATGGGACTCATCAGTGGCAGTGCTCATCCACGACTCCTGCAATCCGCAGGATTCGAACCCAGGACCTTTGGTATTATGCACGAACGCCTAACCATTGAACCACTGGGCCGGTATCCAACACTGTTCATGTCTAACTCTGATCGATCTATGGATTTTGCGTGACCTCACCCATTTGTTTTCGGTAGTTACTGCCCTACACCCAACAGGGTTGAACTCCACTAGTCACGTCTTCTCACAAGAACTCCGAGAATTCCATTCTAGAGTATCGTTTTCTTTACTTTTTCATGGTGACACATTTCTCCTTAATAAAAATTCTATTTTTTATTTTTATCCCTTATTCATAAATCATTGTTTGTTTGATAAATTTTGAATATGCCAACCAACCAGATTTTGGTTTAGCTCGTCATGCAAATAATCAAGAATATTATAGGAAAATTGGACAAGCTCGTTTACCTGTACGTTGGATGGCACCGGAAACTTTAGCATCTGCATATTTTACAAGTAAATCTGATGTTTGGTAAGTAAATAAATTTCACAAGTTTTTTTCTCTCTCCGACCGATTTCATTTTAACTGTTCTCAGTCAGTTAGTCAGATGCAACGTAGAACTTCGTACGTAAGTACATCAATTCATGTTGCCATACCACATTAACACAGAGATGTAATTGTCAATTCAAATCCAATAGTAGTAGAGGTAGTAAAGGTATTAGAAGTAATCGCACAGATTAGGATTAGATATTCAAGCAGTATGATTCAGTGAGATAAGTTTAGAAAGTCAAAACTAGAGGTGTTGAAGAATCCAGAAGATTAGGATTTGAGAGAACACAAAGAATAAATGCACCGGCGCCATTGCAGACAGTTTTGAGCCATGTCATTCAGGGTATCTAACCATTGATTATTATCATCTCGCAGACCCCAACCAGGTAGTCGACAACTGTTGTAACATTTTCGATATGTTTCTAAATCTTTTGTAAGAAATACTACTTTAAAAACCTTTTAAATAGATATCACTGAAAATAAAATGATCACATAGTTAGTTGTATTCTAGACATATCTACAAAAAATCATATATATATATATATACAGGAGTGTAGAAATATTCTAGTGACATTTTAGTCAATAACCACTGAAATAACATAGTTCTTCCTTTCAGATAAATATTCAGTTAACTTCAAATATCTTTTAAATTTCACAGTTCACACTACAAATTGATTTTAGTTAGATAACTATTGAATATAAACAAAATAATAGTCAGTTGTTTTAGGCCAGTATAAGAACCTCTCTCATCAGTATCCAGCTACAATTAAAAACAAGGGATTGAACTCTTAGGACCTTATTTTATTTTCATGGATAGGTATTAACAGCTAGACCACTAAATAGGCATCCAAGTCAGTCAAGTCAGTTGCAACGTAGAACTTCGTACGTATGTATATAAGTTCAGGTCGCCATACCACATCAGCACAGAGACGCAAATGTCAAATCAAATCTCATAGTGATAAAGATAGAAGAGGTATTAATGGTAATGAAGAAGACTAGGGTTTGAAGATATTATTGAAGAAGTATAATTCAGTGAGATAAGGTTAGAAAGACAAGGGTAGAGGTGCTGACGAATCCAGAAGATTAGGATTTGAGAGAGCTCAACGAATACATGCACTTGCGACATTGTAAATGATTTTGAGTCATGTCGTTCAAGGTCTCTAACCATTGGTGACTTTCGTCTCGCCGACCCCAACCAGGTAGTCTACATCTATCAACATGACTCAGTCCACTAGTCAGTGATTTCATGGATTTCTGCCATGTTTTGGTCTGGCCGCCCCTAGCAAACAGGCATTCAATAGTTTTATATATCTATATTCAATCAATTCTTGATATTGTAAAATTATAATGAATGCATCTTACTTGACACGGTGGAAGTTAACCTTTCATGGTTGCTCCGAAGAGATTATCTCCAGTAACTACTCATCAGTGATTGTTATCATTTACGATTATGACTAGTGTAAATGGTTTGTAGAGATGGTCAGATTCTATAATTTTACGTCATGGACTGATTTTAGTTAGGTTAACCAATGATAACCGGGGATTGTTTAACATTCTAATTTAAAAGATTTTGTTAGGGGACGTTAGATCTCTAGAATTTACTGGATAAATGTCCTAATTTTGGATTTTATGTTTTCGAGCATAGACTGATCCGTTGACCTTGATACTATATTTCACACCAGGAAAATCCTTGACTGTCGTCGGTTGACGGATTATTTTAGTACGCTATTTTTGTGGCTCTCCCAAGGATTTTTCTGTCATGTATAAATAAATTCGACTTGTGTGCTTGTAAAACCTCATATTCTGTGTGTGCTTTTAGAATACACTTTCTATGCCTTATCAAGATTTCTCGATATAATTAGCCGCGCAGTGGACAACAGATCAGAATAGCCTATCGTGTGACTGGATCATTTGTCTTCACTCTCGTTTACCGACTTAGGTGAACTCGTAATAGCATTCATGCATTTCGATTGACGAACATATCATTTTTAATATTCACATTTTTGTTGTAGTTTTAAAGTTTCAATTGAATTCGAAATAGTTGGATTCCACGTTAGATGAATAATTCATCTTGAATAATAATTACACAACTAACTAATTAACTAACTACATTTTATCTATTCTATATCAACTTTTAATTATTACAATTGGCAGTTCACTTAAACTAAAATCATAGTGAAGTTGTTTTATTTACTTGTTTATTTTGTGTGGGTGTGTTTTGGTTAGTCTACTCTTAAAATGGTTGAATGAGTATAACAAAAGCTAATCAATAAAACATACTATTTTAAGTAACATATTTATGAATTTGATTTGAACTCAACTCACCATTTTTTTTATTCATTCTAATATGAATACTGCATTAAATAAACATTTTGCGTAAGAAAATAAAAACATTGATCTGCTAAAACGATTCATAAAATTTCAAGCAAGAACAGTAATCAGTTGTTGTTGTTTTTTGAGTTATTTTCAAATAAAATCAAAATTGAAATGAATTCGATGGCATTGTAAGTAGATACTAGCATCATCATCAGCATCAGTACAAATAAAGTATTCATTACTTGTGAATAAACACATCTAAGCGTTTTATTTTATCTTATACTTTTATGGACGATATTATTTGACGAAGTAATTGTTAGAATATTCATCCAATATCCTAAGAGAATTATTAGTCAATTCCTACTGGTCAATTTTGTGGTCGTCCTAGATATCAATATCACATACTCCAATGTTGTTTCTTATCGGTTGTCCTGACTATCAATGTCACTTCAAATGTTACTTCCTAGTGGTCGTCTTAACTGTCAATATCACAGACTTCGATGCTGTTTCCTGTTCGACCAAAATGTATAAATACGCATTATTTGTAACATTTTAGGACCACGAGCAGGACCAGGACTCGGTCCCGGATCCCTAGTCCGGGATCCTGATACTCTTCTGGATTCGGACCTCGTACTTCCTGGATGCTTGTCGAATACAGGTTCTACTTCATATCACGTCTTATTATTTTTATTAAATATGGGGGCTGGGATAATCGGATATGAGTAGCATGTCGTGTCACCAGATCCTCGATCCTCGCTCTCGTTTTCCGACTAGGTAAACTCGTAATTATTCAAGTATATCAAGTTGACGTGTTTACATGCAGGCGTAACAGTAATCAACTAGACAAATAACCCATTACAGAGAGAACTTAACGTCATTGGAATTATTATGTGACACGTTAGTAGTTATATTACCAAAATCCTTAAATTGATCAGAGTTAAAAAATTAACACCGTTGGATACCAGCTCAGCGGTGTAGAGGTTAAACATTCGCGCGTAAGACCGAAGGTCTTGGTTTCGAATCATGGAGTCATGGATGCGCACCGCTGTTGAGTTCCATATCAGGACGAAACGGCCATCCACTGTTTCCAGGTTTCCAATGAGATGGTCTCAAAACATTAATTCGTTCATGATTTCATATGCATAAAACACAGATCTCCTATAAAACAACCACCAAGTTTAATTTTTAGTAATAATTCACACGCGTTCATATTTGATAGCCTACTTTATTGACAAGTGTTTATACTGTACATTTGATTCAACACTGATCTGATTTACATCTTTTCGGTTTCTTAATTATTATTCAAAAAAGGTCATATGGTGTTGTATTATGGGAAATAGCTACATTCGCTTCTTTACCATATCCTGGTTTATCACATGAAGAAGTTATGAAATTTGTATGTGAAGGTGGACATTTAAATTTGCCAGAATGTCCAGCAAAATTACCTGTTATTTTGTAAGTTTTGTTGTATTTTTTTCTGCAAATTTCTGAAGAAGAATACTCTTTTATTCATTGATATTATATTTTTATATTAGAAATTAACATCTATAGGAAATAATAGGTTGGTTTGTTTTGTTTTCTGGAAAAAAAATAAATAAATCAGTTCAAATAACATGTTGAAAGTGAGAATAATAATAATAATGATAATAATAATTTATTGAAAAGAAAATTCAATAAAACTAGCTTTGATTGAATCCACACAAATACAAAAATCATGCATTTAATGTTGCGGGACGTTAGATCACCAGAACTCACTTGCTCAAGGTTCTAATTTTGAATTTTATGCTTTCGCACATGTGTTGATCCGTTGACCTTGACACTATATTTCACACCCGGAAAATCTTTAACTGTAATTGGTTGATGGATTATTTTAGTACGCTATTTTTGTGACTCTCCGAAGGATGTTTCTGTCATGTATAAATGAACTCGATTCATCTGCTTGTTAACCTCATATTTTCTGAGTGCTTGCAGGTTACACTTTCTACACCTTATTAGGACTTCTTCCTATAGTTAGCAGGGCTGGAGGCAATCGAATCAAAATAGCCTATCGTGTCACAGCATCATTTGTCTTCGCTCTCGTTTACCGACTAAGGTGAACTCGTAATATTTTTCAAGCATATCAATTGACGAACATATCATTAATGCTAACAACACAATTAGCAAGTTCTTAATGTACATTGAAACGATCGCAAACCAGAGAACAAAATTCAAATGAATCATAAAACGGAAAGGAGGTGATTAGATTGTTTAACTTTACAACTCATTGGCATTGTTTACTGATCACTCACACTCAATAATTTAGATTGTTGTTCTGGTCATTGGATTAGAATTGAGTAATTATTAGTTCACAACTTTCAATTCCCCGTTACAAAACTTGTAAATCGATTTGTGTTAAGTTAGCAATTTTGTATAGGTTATGTAAACTACTTAAAAGTAGTATAATGTTTAAAATACAAATTTTACTAGACATCATTTTTGTGGTTTTTGTGATAATCGCTTTTAATGAAATTACGCTCAAATTGTTTTAATATATACATCCTTATAGCTAAGAAATGAACAGAAATTTTTTTGAATTAATAACTGCTAACTTTTACTTCATATCTCGAATACGTGAATGCATCAGAATCAAAAGACTGATCTTCTGTACACGATATGCTTAAAACTATTACGAGTTCACCTTACACGGTAAACAATAGCGAAAACAAATGATCCAGTCACATGATAGGCTATTCTGATTCGATTTTTCCCGGCCCTGATAACTATACGAGTAAGTCTTGATATGGCGTAAAAAGTGTATTCTACATGCACCCAGAAAATATGAGGTTTTCAAGCACACAAATCGAGTTTATTTATCCATCATAAAAACATCCTTGGCAGAGCCACGAAAGTAGCGTACTAAAATAACCCAGTTAACCAATGATAGTCAAGAATTTTCTTGGTGTGAAATGTAATCTCACAGTCAACGGATCAGTCTATGCTCAAAAACACAAAATCCAAAATTAAGGCCTTTATCAAGTGAGTTCTAGAGATCTAACGTCCTCGACAGTACAATCATAGTACATTTCATATGAAATTTTATTGATAAACCACTGATTAGATTAAATAATATGCAATTCAATGTGTTATTTTTCTATTTTGTTTTATTTTTCGTCTCTTTAGATTAACACTTATGAATATGTGTTGGGAATTTGAACCAATTAAGCGACCGACATTCAATGAAATTTTATTGAAGCTGAAATTATTCACATCTACCGAATGTATATGATATTACTAAGAATGTTATCATGAAATATCTACCTCATTGTATGTAATGCTTATTTTCGGGGGGGGGGGGGGGATTCTATCACTCTTTGTGTTATCTCAAACTGTAATCTTCGAAATTCGTCATCATCTCCATCTTTCTCTTTCTAAATTTATCTCACTGAATTATACTTCTTGAATCATATCTTCCAACCCTAATCTTCTCCATTACCAGTAATACTTCTACTATCTCTATGACTATGAGATTCGATTTGACAATTGCATCTCTGTGCTAATGTATTGTATGACAACCTGAACTTATGTACGTATACACGTACAAAGTTCTACGTTGTAATGTCTGACTGACTGACAAATGT